AAGCCAAGATAGATAACTCATTAGTCATTGTATCGAATATACCATCTCGAACGATATCTCTGTAATATAACCAATTTCATCGATAACCAAAAGATAAAAATATATCTTATGGATACCCCATATACTTACAATAATAAGCGGATATTACTTAATCAAAGGAAAGTGAAAATTTCTTTTGTATTCAATACCAATAAAGTATATAGTTATTGGTAAACTTATATATTAAAGTGAAGTCCGCCACCCCGCACTTGGCCAGTGTGGTGGGCTATGGCCTGAGCCCCTTTGTATTGCAGGGAGGCCCAAGCCCAGCAATGGGACAAGGCGAGAGAAAAAGTAAATATATCTATACATATAACATTTTAAGTTATCTATACATATAATAAAATTCTAACTAAGTCAAATCTAATACTTTCTTAGATTTACGCGAATATTTGACATTTTAAATAAAACTATATTTTCGGATTTTGTCGCGGATTTATTTGTATTTTTGTTTCCCGACGTTTCGAATGCTTTACAGCAATCATGGTCACGGGAGAGACTGAGGTGTTAGATGTTTCTAAGGTATTATATAGTTGTTACAGACAGCCTACCCACAATTAACAAAATGAATTCAAAAAATTGAAAAATGGCACTAAAGTACCTTACAATATTTTAACTTTTAACTTTAAACATTTTTATATAATTTTAATTAGCTTTATAATTGAATATAGAATATTATTTATTTAATTTGAGCTGTTATTATTATAATTATTACAATTTTAAAAAATATTAAGATGGATGATGATTGATGGTATTAGGTATACACAGGGAAAAATTAAACTTTAGTAAGCAATGATGCTTTTTTGTATTGATGATTCGACCCTACTTACGTTTTAAGTTTTAACATTTAGTACAGATTTCTCAGAGATGAGATATTTTCCCGCAGTAAAAAGTATCCTATATGTTGACCCGGATAACCAGCTATCATCATACCAAATTCCATCAAAATCCGTCCAGCAGTTTTTCCGTGATGCGGTCACAAACAAACAGATAGACAGGTAAAAATTCTAAAGACTAGATTCAGCCTCTGTATCGATAACTATAATAATGTCTATTTCAATAAGATTTTCCACATACTATGTAATGTACAGATTCGGCTTAGTTACAATTTTATAATAATTTACATAGATTTAAAATATCCTATATGAAACATCGTGATATCAAATGCCATTCAATAAAAGATCTAGACAATTATTTAATTTGTAACAATGTAATCAGATTCACCCCTTTGTATAGCTTCAGTGAATAAATTTCCGAAGCCTTATAAGGGCGTTGGAATGAATTGTGCACGATATCAAATTTGTACATTTGTACATGGAAAATTACGTATTAAATAATTAATTGCTTTATATATATATATATATATATATATATATATATATATATATATATATATATATAATACCCTCGTTGATAAATTAGAAACTTCGTGGACACATTATTATTATTGCTTTAAGGTAATTTCTGTGGGTTTATATTGTAAGATCAAGGATTAATTTACTATTCAATTATATAGTACACTAGCATTGCCCGCGGCTCCGCCCGCGTTGAGATGACCAAAAACCAAATTCTTAGGTTTAACATATTAGTATATTCTTACATTCCAGTTTTTTTTTATATTTTCTCTCAGAAATGATACGTTTTCCCGCGGTAAAAAGTATTCTATATGTTGACCCGGATAACCAGCTATCACCGTACCAAATTTCATCAAAATCCCTCCAGTGGTTTTTGTGTGATGCGGTAACAGACTGACAAAATATCTAAAAGCTATAGATTCGGCTTCTGTATCGATAATAATGTTTATTTCAATAAGATTTTCCAAAAAATATTTAATGTACAGTTTCAGCTTAGTTAGAATTTTATTATATGTATAGATTTTATTATTATACTAATTTAATATTTAATCAAAAGTTCTACTGACTTGAAAATTTAAAACTACATCCATGAAGTATCTCTTACATCATAACTCACATCGTAAGTGGTTGGAGTCAGTTGTTTGATTTGAACACTTAGTTCGCCCACCATCCAACCGTGTCACGACCGTGACCGCGTCACATAAATGTCATTATTTGCCTATACAGGGCTGACAACTAAAGAAAAACTAATATAATAACCAATCTTTCTAATATATAAACTGCCTATATATGTATCATATAATATATAAATATATTATCTTAAATCTAAGTCAAATATAGTTTATTCATTAGTCGTAATATTGTAAACGTCAATTCATCATTATTTAAATTAAAAGAAATGTCAGTAAGTTCGTGAGGAAGCTACCAACGGCTCGGAAGGCAATTCTGTTTTAAAGAGGCTGCGGGAAACCACTTAATAGTTGATCTTTTAAAATAATATTTGCTTACAATATGGCAATACAATAATTATGTACTTATAATCATCATCATCTCCCTGCCCATTTCCCAATTACTTGGGGTCGGCGCAGTACGTCTTCCCTACTGCTCATTGGATTTGGCAAAGGCAAATTTACTTAATAATATGTGATTAATTATTATTTCATCATATGATCATGAAAATATGAGCCCAGAGGCGGCATTATAAAAACACAAGTAAATATGACACTTCACCAACTAAAAGTCCGTTTTACGGTCTTATTTCCAGTTGGCATTATTTGTAAAGATTTAATGTAGACGCCAACGCTTCGGGTGACTGACCCTACTCGTAGCTACCGTAAAATGTTGTCCAACTATTGGTTTTGGATGATCGGTAACATGTATGCAATACCTTACAAAAAATATTTTAAAACGAGGCCTTGTGTAAATATGGACTAGTGGGATTTTTATGCTAATATTATGATAGGCCTTTAGCAAAATGGTTCAGATTCATTTTGTTATATATCTATAGGTACGCTGAACAAATTTCAATTAAATTTAGATTGCGATGCGAGCGAAGTCGCGGGGAAAAGCTAGTGTTTGTGAGATGAAAAGTATAAAGTTCTATATTTTATTAAGATTTAAGTAGCATAGAGAAGGCTTTAAATTATTGTTATTAGAAGCTAAAACTTCATTACAATGACTTTCTAAATAAGATAATATTTTAAAAATGGGCAATGGTTTTGAATAAAAATATTGTCAAGAAATTATTAAAGAAGGATTTAATTGTGCTTCCTTTTTTGTTAGTTAGGGTTGCGTTTCTTGATGTAAGGAATCTACGGAATGAAAGCGACGAACTGTACAAAGATTATAACGTTCTCCGTCTACCAGAAGGCTTACAAATTGAAAAAATATATATCAATGTTTTCACATAACTTTGGCGGATGGGTAATTTTGGCGGTTATTTTATAGTTTCATATAACGTGTGTCCATACGAAATCCCGAATGAGCCGCGACCGCAAACCACTTCCAGCAAAGGGTTTCACGGGTGATCCCTCTGGAAATATGCTAACCGCATTCCCACATTGCGAATATGTCTTTTGAAGAATATATCGTAAACTTGACAGGTTGGCTGAGCTTCGATGAGCTTTAGAAATGAACATTTTACTTAAATGCTTGAGTTTGTTAACTATTGTTAAGTATAATCGATCTGTCACCATTTGTTATAACGCTCGCATGTGATATATATTGCAAATAGGTATATATAAATATCTCGTGTCACGGTGTTCGTGGTTACACTTCTCCGAAACGGCTTGACAGTTATAATGATTTTTTTTAATATATTTGGTAGGTATGAGAATAGGTCGTAAAGTCTTTTTCACCCCCACCCCCCATTTTTTAATTAACTAGGGGCGAACCCGAGCGTGAGTCGCTATATTTTTTTATTTATTTATTATTTTAAATTTTTATTTGATTTTTTAATTTAAAGCCTTTGACTAAGTATTGAGTAACTTAATATTTTTTACAATTGTAGTTTTTTTTTTATAATTTAAACAGTAAATCACTTAGGCTAAATAATGATATAGAATGCTATCTACCATCACGCTGTGACCCTTAACAGCGGAGTAATTTATACTAATGTATAAACTATAAAGTAAATTTTGTAAGTTTGAATGTAGGGGGTAATCTCCTAAACTACTGATGCGATTCTGAAAATTCTTTTACTAATAGGAGGTTAAATTACCGCATTAAGCTTTATATTTCTAAGTGCTTTATGCTATTTTTTATCAACCGACTTCAAGAAGGAGGAGGTTTCTCATTTCGATAAAATTTATTGGTGTGCGCTGCCTATAACGTTTTGAAATAAAGAAATAAAATGTATGTCAAAAGGGCAGCTAGGGACGCACCCAAGCAAAGTGAGGGTAAGTCGCTAGTTATACATAATTAAAGTACAAGAGCGGAACCGTACCCAATAGCTAATTATATTTATATAATACTAGCAGAACCCGCGCCCTTCGCTCGCGCTAAAACTCCAAAAAAAACTCAAATTTTTACTATTATACTCTATTTTACCCCCATATGGGATGAATTTCGAAAAATGCTAAAACATGTACCTATTGATTAATTGTATTGAAGAGCACTTATACCAAGTTTCAAGTAATTCTGATGATAATTTTTTTTGGATTGCATTATATAACGCGTTTTTCCATGGGAAAGAGACAATTTCCCGCGGTAAAAAGTAGCCTATGTCACTCTTCAGCCCTCCAACTATCTCCACACAAAAAAGTAACGCCAATCCGCCAAGCCGTTTCGACGTGAAAGAAAGACAAACAAACACACTTTCACATTTATAATATTAGTATGGATATTATACATTAATATAGACGGTTAAATATTGATTACGGTCTCTGCAGAGCCGGAACCTCTGCAGAGACCGTAATCAATATTTAATGTTTGGGCAATGGATATCCAAATATCTGAAATTGAATGTTTAATTGTTAAGTTGTGTATATCTAATTATAATACAGATACAGATGTTAGTCCCGCTGTGGTTATTTGAAACTTAGTGTTTATTATCCCAATAGGTAACTTACTACTGCCACATCTCACAGTAGCCCTTTCATATTTCAGGTGAAAAAATTCGCGTTCGAGGATCACGCACCACCGAAGATCGAACAGATACAGCCGTTTTGCGAGAGCGTACATACGTGGCTCAACGAGGACTCGCGGAATGTCGCCGCAGTACACTGTAAAGCTGGAAAAGGGAGGACAGGTAGGGTGACAGCAAAGTATTATAAATTAAGGAAATTGTTATATATTACAGAAAAGTTCTATATCTGAGCTAATCTAAGGATTTTTGGCTAAAGTCGTTAAAGTAACGTTTGCATTTTCATCGAAAAATTTATTATAACATAATTCACGTAATATTTAATTTATTAAAATATTTCATTCGTTTTGTCTCCTACATAATTCATTATTCTAAGTTTCATTAATCGTTTGAAAAATAGCACCATGACTTTGTTATACTGCATAACTGTGCATTTAATGAAAAACTGGTATGTCATAGATAAAATATACATGTTATGTATATACAAAGCAAATAAAAACGTTCAATACGCCATTGGTTTACATTCATTATTCACGTTACATCGTACGATTACAGAACAGTCAAATATTTAGCAAAAGGTCAAACATGTGCAGACCCCACATAAGCATACGAATGCCGGGATGAATAAAACTTTAAAAAGCGTTCGCATTCCCGAGATATTTATCACAAAATGGCGGCGAAATAATAGTTTCCCCTCACAAAGGTTGAAATTACACGTGCTACATCGCTTTTGATGCCGGCCATTGTCATGCAAACAAAAAGTACCCCAAAACTTGGGGGCGTAATTGCGAAATTTCTTTACGACTTATAATTGCCCGAATTACGTACGAAAGTTTCGAAGTCGTAAATTTCGAAGGACCCTACAGTTCCTTTTTGTGGTCAAGTAAAAAAACGGGCCGTTCGATATGAAAGGAAAACGTTTGGATGTGAAAGGAGGGTGATCATTTTAGATGTATTTCTACAACAAAAAAAAGTATGGCGCTGTTTTATTTGCCGATTGAGCATATTTTATTTATGTATGAATTCGGTTATTCATAAAGAATATTTTGCTACTTTGTTTTTGCTAGTTTGCTGGTTGTTAAAGCAGTGACTCTATCGAAGTTAGATAATGAAGTGTGTGCCGTGGAGAGAAATAATTCAATTTCTCCAGTAAAGACATGAAGGAAACTATTAGTATATTTATTATTTATTATAGTTTTTATAGTACAAAAGCTCATTATACAACAAAGAACGGTCAAAATATTGTGGAGCTTAGATTAACATAGCCCATAGTAATTAACAGCTTTTATAACACGTGTGTGCAATTTAAAATTTTATTATTATAATATAACACCATTTTTTCAGTCTTTTTTATTTGAATGAATTCATTTTAACTTCATAAATAATGCATGAGAGATAGCTTAATAGATTTACATTTTAATACCCGATATTCAGATTTGCATATCACAATGTGATCGCTATCGATGTGATTTGTAACCGTGGATCATTCGTATTGAAACTTTTGTATACATATACATATGTATTTTAAAATAGCAATATTTCATTTAATACTAGACTTTTTATGCGACGAACGCTATCCCGGTCTGGGCTGTGTTGTGTAACCATATCTATCACATATTTTACAACTTAATCAAATTATGGTCAGTGGTTTTTCTGATATTGACGAAAAATATATTCTAAGAATATAGTCTTTGGTGTGAACGTCTGCTACGACATGTTTGGCTCAGTTTGTAGTGACCCTACTTGCTGTGCCAGCGATCGCGGGTTCGAGTCCCGCTGGGGGCATTCATTTGTTTGATGACAAATATTTCTGCTCCAGTCATGGGTGTTTTGTTTATAATATGTATGTATGTAAAGTTATATATGTGTAGTGTATCAACTATCTGGTATCCATTACACAGGCCTCGTAGCTTACCATGGAACTAGATGGTGCTGTGTGTAATGTCCCAACATATTCATATTTTATTTATATTTATGATGAAGTCAAATGACATGTAATATTTAATTATATTTTGTCTGACAGTTTAAATGGTGAATTAACACCTATACAGAAAAAGAAACAAAAGTACTCTACTAAAGGAATCAAAAATCTAAATAAATCCGCGAAAAGAAATCTGAAAAGATAGTTTTATTTAAAATGTCAAATATTCGCGTAAATCTAATAAAGTATTAAAAGTACCTACTAAATTTAAAATTATTGGTATGAATATACTTACATATTTTTAGTTTATAACTTTCCTGATCTAATTAGCTACGTATGTACGTTCTCTTTATACGCTCTAAGGGTATTATGTCAAAAATAAATTGTATGCATGTATTTATTTCAGGGACGATGATATGTTGCTATCTCTTATACAGCGGGCAAAAGGCGACGGCGGACGAGGCTCTAAAATTTTACGGCACCAAAAGAGCACACGATGAAAAAGGTACGGCTATAACACTACTTTATAATATATTTTTATATATTCTATTTATTTTAAATAAACAATAACTGTTTGCTTTTTTAATATTGTGTTTAGTTAAAAATAAGAGAATTATGCAAATAAATTTTACATTATTTATAAGCAAAAACATATTTTTATATAATATGTAATATATAAAACTAGCGACTCACCCTTACAGCATAGGTACGTTTTGACGGTTAACATGAAATACAAATCTTTGAATTTCTCGGTTTTTCTGTACTATAATATGCATGTATTATACATGATATATAAACCTTCATCTTGATTCACTCTATCTATTGCTGAAAACTGCATTAAAATCCGTTGAGTAGTTTGAAAGATCTAAGCGAACAGACAGCGTTTAATAAAACAAGGAAGTTTATAGATAATTAAAACGTATTTTTCTGTAGAACAATCAAACACCCAGTTAATCGAACCCGGGATAGGCAAGGTTCTACTGTATTCATTTTTATTATACAGATGTTTAAGGTAATATAACGATCATGCTTCATTTAGCTGAAAAGAGGAAAGCTTTGTGATATGTTACCAAGTTCTCTATCTCTTGTAATGATATTAAAAAAAACATTTTAAAGGCACACCTAAGATTAAGATGGACCACGAACAAACTGTCGACGGTTTAATGTATGTTTTTTAAAAACCTTTAACAGCAAAATTTTACTAGTACGAATATAACGTGTTTTGCGTATGTCTTACCCTCGCTTCATTCGGGCGTGTCTCTTGTTGTCACACGGTAGCCTATCTGTATACTATATATGGTAGAATTTCTCACGTAGGTATTTACATACTGACAGATAGTATAAATTTAAAAAGTGATGATTCAAAACTGCTTGTAAAAGTCTATTTGAATAAAGTATATTTTGATTTCATATATTTCATTCTTTGTCCAGTCATTTTCAGCGTGTAAAAGTAACAAACATGCATATATTCACACAAACTTTTGGCAATTATTACAGTTGTTCGAGATTAACATGTAACCGTTGTTAGGTGGAACGATACTCTCGCAACGTCGCTTTTTGAAAATTTACTTAAAAAGTGGCGATTCAAACGTGCTTGTAAAAGTCTAATTTTAAAAAAGTATATTTTAATTCGATATATTTCATTCAAATTTGTCCAGTCATTTTCTGTGTGAGTAACAAACATACACTCATACACACAAACTTTGGCAGTAATAACAGTAGTTAGATTAACATTTGCACCTATTTCAGGTGTAACGATCCCCTCGCAGCGTCGCTACGTGGAGTACTACGCGGCGCTCGTGCAGGGCCGGCTGACGTACCGCGCGACGCGCGTGCACGTGCGCGAGGTGCGCATGACGCCGCCGCCCGCGCTCAACGGCGGCCAGTGCACGCTCGAGCTGGTCGTGTCGCAGGTGGAGCCGCAGTTTAAGGTTTGTGATACGCACACGTGCACACACGCACACATACACACAAATACGTGTTGGATTTGCAAGATGAGTGTATGCGTGAAATGATATTTTAAGAATAAAAGAAGAGATATGATATAATTTTAAGAATGGAATGGAATGAAAGATGAATAAAAGAAGAGAAGGATTTTGTGTCATAATGACGACACGACGAGACGCGTGGACATTGTTTTATATAATTTTACAAGAATAAATAGTTACTAGTGTTATAAACGTTTTTATTAGTATTCCCGGATCCTACATATATATATGATATGTACACAAAACACCTACTAAGCGTTATGTGTATGTGTGCTTGTGATAGCTGTGAACGATGCTCGTGGTCATCGACCAAAAAAGTACTAGCTAGATATACAATCTCATGGAAAACTTCTATTAAAATTATTCTAGTCGAAATAAATATACAACAATCTAAATTGAACCTTAAAATTAAACTTGTTTTCACATAAACAAATTAAATTAAAAGCGTGCTCAAATGTTCAAATGAAAGCTCATTCGGTGAGACCATTTTTTGTCGCTGATTGTGTATCTAATACTATATGTATACATAGGTATGATAAATTTTATATCGCTTACTTGAGAAACAATTAATTAACCATGTAAACTTTCAACTTCCTTTTTATCCCCTTGAGTGATGATTTCTGGGATAAAAACTCTATCTTCCCAGGGTTTCGAACTATCTCCATGCCAAATTTCGTCTAAATCGATTCCGCGGTTTAAGCGTGAAAAGGTAACAGACAGACAGTAACTTTAATATGGATTATAATTATAAAATATGTGTGTGCAGGCGTCGCTCGGCAGCCACGAGCTGCGGCGGCACGAGGCGAGCGCGCGCGTGGCGCTGCAGGCGTGCACGCCGCTGCAGGGCGACGTGCGCGTGGACGTGTACTGCCGGCAGAAGATGATGATGCGAAAGGAGAAGCTGTTCCACTTCTGGTTCAACACCTTCTTCGTGACCGCCTGCGTCGGCGCCGCGCCCGTGCCCGCGCCCACCGACAGTCAGTACAAGCCCCTCTTGTTTATAAATTCTAATTCAAAATATTATTCAGCATTAAATTATTACATTTTTTTTACTGAACGTCATGAGTCTACTACCAGTTCGGAAGGAAAAAGCCTCAGACTTGAGAAGAACTGGCGAAAGAGACTAAGCATTACCTATACAGCGGTTGCCATGACGACGCGGGGAGGAAGATGACGAGTTACGACGCACCACTGTTACCATAGGCAGTACAGACTGTCCCCCCCAACGTGCGTTCACCTTGTCGTGGTGGTGGGGGGGGGCTCAGTAGTGCCCGGCAATCCAACCGGGCGCGAAGCTAAGAAACGCACAGGGAGGTTGCCCACTTCGGTGGGTGGTGGGAGGTGGCCCTCTTCGGGGGGCGGTGTACCTTGCGGATTGCTCCTGGTACTTCTCTGATAGCAGAGTGGACCTTGGAGCAACCCCATGGTTGTAGTGGTCTGCTTTGGCAGACCTGCCGTCGGGGCGTCGTAGTTGAATGCGTAAGCGATCCTGCGACGCCCCATTAAGACGGGGGAAGCTTTCGTTGGGTTTTAGTGGGTAGTACTGGCTGTATTACGCCGGTGAGTCCCACACGTCGTGAGTAAATGCATTTCCCAACGTTAAAAAAAAAGGCAGTACAGACTGTAGTTATAGCATTTGCCATAAATACAAGTACACCATGTAGGATGGTTAGGTGTATGTGTGTGCTGCCGGTAGAAAATGGCGATGCGGAAAGGGATCCTGTTGCGTCTATGATTTAACATATTTTTGACCTCGCGATTGTTACTTACCACCGGTACCATAGACTACAAACAGTAGATATAGCAGTTGGTAATTCTTTTATAACTATACTTCGTGCGACATATTATGTATGTATACTGCTGACAGAAGATGTCAATGCTTTGTTTTCTTCTACACATATTTACTGCCTCTTTGCACGAGCACATCGTTAGTGGGCCGCCATTACCATAGGAATATAAAACATACACATGGTTTTTGTCCGCGGATTTATTTTGATTTTTGGTTCCTGAAGTTTCGAATGCTTTACATGACTGCTGTATAGCATTCGAAAGGCCAGAAACCGAATAAGAATTAGGTAGCTTTATTTAATATGTCAATATTCGCGTAAAATAAAAAAAAATATACCCCATTCTATTGTTATATGCAAACTTTTTTCTGGTAAATTTTTAACATTATTTTACTGAGGTCCATTAATTAAAAGATATTCAAAATGTTTAATCTGATTATATGGTGTAAGTTAGTGCTAAATATTAAAATTGTTCTAACATTAATAATATTCATCATTCTATTATTTTAATCAAATATAATTGTCCGTGTTCCACAGGTCCAAACTTAGAAACGTTCAAGTTGACACTGGACAAGTGGCAGCTGGACGACGCGCACAAAGACAAGCAACATAAACTGTACAGTCCAGAGTTCAAGGTACTGACACACACACACGCACTCACACACACACACACACTAACACACACACACACACTCACTCACACACACACACACACACACACGCACTCACACACACACACACACACACTCACACACACACACACACTCACACACACTCACACACACACACTTATGTTATTGTGACTTACCTTCACTTCGCGCGTGTCTACATAGCCTAGTCTATATAGTGTTCTAGTTCATAGTCTATCTGAATACTAAATTTTATCAAAACCCGTTCAGCCATTTTAGCAAGAGCAAGGAGTAACAAAAAATAAATGTATACCATCAAGATTATGTGATGATGTGGTTAGAAGATGAAGAGTGAAATTCTATAATGAACACTAATGAATCTTTCCAGCTTGGGTTCATTTTATTTGTTTTGATGAATGGTCTATCAAAAGTGTATTTGTGTATGTATGTGTTGTATGTGATATGACATTATATATTAATTAAGTAACCGTGACATATAAATAACATATGTAGTAAATTCATCAATTCGTTAAGGCAAAATTCGTTGTTAGAAAACGGATTGAAGCTAGTTTCTTTGCAATGTTATGGAGTCTAGCAGACTGCTCAACACGACCGGTGAGAGTTAAGGCGCAGGACCGACGGCTTTACGTGCTCTCCGAGGCACGGGGGTGAAACACCGCCAACTTCCTAACTCCGGGCTGTTACTGAGACTTACTATACTGAAAGACTCAATAACTCTACTTGGCTCGACCCGGGACTCGAACCCAGGACCTCCGAGTGTGCAGCCGTACATGCTAGCCACTACACCACCGAGGCAGTATAAACTTCAACGTCACTTGAAGTAATGTCTGAATGTTTGTTTTCATATTCGCTATATAAATTTCCAGGTGGAGTTAATAATACAGAAGCAGCCAGATTCGTCGACATTCAGCACTCAGTCGCTGCGAGCGCCCTCCACCCCCTCCTCCGCGTCCACATGCTCCGAGAACGACGAGCACTGGGACTCCGGTGAGGGCTTCTTGTGTACTGAGCCCGCGGGCGTGCACCCGCACTTATATACCCTCGCATCCGACGCCATTCTTGATGACGTCACGCCTCCATTGTATCTCTCTACCGTGCCTCCTTTACATGAGAGCGTAGGCTTCGGTGTAACGCCAGCTTTACATAATGAAGCTTTAGGTGTGACTCCGCCTTTATACACGTTTGTGCCGACTCGAGATGTACTCTCTGTGACGGACAGTGTGTTACCGCTTTTATGTCCCAAATATCAGTCCGATAGAACTATAAGTGAAGCCTCGCCTCTATATTCGATGTCAAAACAAGACTTGGCCAGTGTGACACCGGCTTTATCATATCGATCCGATTGTATGAAATCCTCTTATTCAGATAAGTCAGTTTTTGAAGCGCCATTATTATATGCGCCGTGTAAAAGCAAACAGTATAGCGTGACAACTTTAGCCAACGAAAGTATACTGACCGGTGTAGTACCGGCTTTATCTAATAGTAGTGTTAGGGATAAATCTCTATGTCCATACAACTATAGTCACCATAAAATATCCCAAGCGAATATTCCCGATGTAAGCGAAAGTTTTGAGAGTAAAACTTCATATAGTTTTAGTAAAAATCCGTCTGAAACACCCTTATATTTCGTACCTTTTAATAACGTTTTATGTAAAAAATTACATGCACTATGTAATGTACAATGCTCTGGTAAAGAACAGGCGTGTTCAAATATATATAAGAAAAATTATAAAAGTCCGTCTAATAATTTAGATCAAAATACTAAAGATTCGGAATTACCTTATGTAAATATTCTTTGTGGTCACGACGCCCACAGACAATATATGTGTAAAAATAAAAACTCTGATAAAAACAGCGAAATTAGTGATAACGATAGTTTAAGTATATCCCATACTGATAGGTGTGGAGGTTTGTGTAAATATAAGAGAAGTTCTGATAGCGATATGTATGAAATGCTCCACACTACAGAACTATGCCATAAAAAACCAAACTGTCTACATGTAGATGAACTATCAAAACCACCCATACACAATTCTAGTATAGACCCGTACCATGAAACTGAGAGTTCTACGAATAACAAAGTATACCCCAATGGAAATAAACATACTACAGATCTATATGTCGACAATCAAAATTATCCTATTGACCTTGATTATCCTGTCAATAACGACATATATCTACCCATAGACAAGAATTTTCCGGAAAAAAATACTAATGCGGAATTTCTCGAAAATAAACCCGAAAATTCGACTGAATGTGATCCGACTAAAAGTAAAAATGATAAGAAAGATAAAAAATGTAAAGATATGTCCAAAGCTAGACTTTTAGGCGATATGAGAGCGTCTTGGAGGGAGTTTAGTGGAAAATTTGGGGAGAATAGAAAAAAGAAACACAAAGATGATTAAGTAACTTTTTTTAAACTTAAGGCTTAAATCAAAATTCAAAGAATGAATATTATGTCGTGTTTTAAAAAGTAGAGTTTGTCTCAATCAAACACCATGTACATATATAAGCTTATATAATATTTTTAATATATAGAAACTTCTTGTTAGATAGAAATATTTTAATTGATAAGGTCTTATTTTGATTTTACTTAACAATAAGGTGAGAAATAATAATGCAATTGATTATATAAAGCCATAATTAATATGTATTATATAATTTCAAACTTATTATGCAACTTAGTGATTAGATCATTTTGATCTTTAAAATGTTATTTCGCGTATGTTAGGGACGCTTGGATAGAATAATACAGACGTTATATGTATGTAAAGTTTTTGTTATTTGCGTCCGAATTATTGTTTAACTTCAATAAAGTCCTAGATGGACTAAAAATATAATTAAATAGTCTTAATACAAGCAGTTCATAGCTTATCTTTTATATTTAGGGCTAAAATTAATTAAAAAATAAGTTCATACAGAGTTACATGGCATAGGTGATTCTTAGACCAGCGGTTCCCAAGTTTTTGTGGCCATGGTACCCTAGTTGATCATAATTTTTTAATAAATCCCCATTTTGATAATAACGAAACTGATTGTGTTGTAGTTAGAATACTTTCTTGTTTGTTTTAAAAGAACAAATCATAAATGAGAAATATTAATACTTAAGATAATATTTATTGTACCAAAAATATAAATTTAACTATTTAATGTAATGAATGATTTTTTTTCGCATATTTATATTAAGCACTAAAATTAGGCTTCATGTCATACAACATTTTCGTCTAGTTAATCCCTGATTTCCTTCCATGGAACCCAGGAGTTTCGCTGACCACCATTTGGGAACCGCTGGCTTATAACTATTGATTGATTCAAATTGAACTGTTTTTTGTCTCCCACTAATATATATTTTTCAATACAAAACATATAAAAAGGGACAAAAGAAAAGATGGAGTTATGCTAATATAGTTTTGTATTATTCATGGATGGACGCCTCATGGAAAAATAAATAATAAGCTCGAATAGAATAATATATTTTATACGGGCTGTGTATATTCATTACACGTGTTATAAAACCTTTATAGTTTGATCGTTGTTGACATTGGTACATTTATAGTATGTGAATGTTTTTAGTTATTGTTATGTACTTTTTTGTATTAAGACTCCTTGTTACGGATTGAGAAAAATCTTAAACAATAATTTTATACATAATTTTTTTTGTTCATTTATATTTTTTTATGAACTGTGGTGTACATAATGGAATGTCATGTTTCTTCTGTGAACATTCAGTTTTTATTTTTTTAGTTTTATAGCAATTATACTATAATGAATATTATATAAATCAAGAAAATCTATTTTAAAAAGAACAAGTTTAGATTACATATTTATAAAATATAATTTATTTAAATGTATTATTGCCAAATATTTATTGTATTCTTTATTGTATTGGAAAATGTCAGCAAGAAATATGACAACCATTAGAAGAGGCGAGATAGATTTAATGATCTCAAATCGATAACGAGTTTTCAATTGTTTTTTTTTAATTTTATATATTATTTTTATTTTATTTATTTATAATAATATAAACTATATATTTAATAAACTATATATTTAATATTTGGTATAATGATATAAACGTATATAAAAAATAACTTATCTAAAACAACGTTATAAGTATGATCGGCACCGATAATATTATTAGAATTTTGGCACTAGATTTAATTTTCAAATTCCGAATGACAATATTTTTCTTTTTTTTTAAAGTTAAGACACATAGAATAAATGAATGACGTATCTTTATGAAGCCATGCATATAAAATATCATGCTATAATGTGGTGTTGGTCTTAGTTGTTTGGAATAATTGTGGAATAATGCCTTTTTTTTTCCTCATATTTTTCAAATTTTTCTAAGCAACAAACAACAAACGCAAATGCCCCATTTGCATATTTGTTTCATACTTTATGTGATACACAATTCATTCACATTTTAGGAGATTAATTAATATGGCAACTTCAACAAATTTTTAAGAAACTGATAGATCATATGAAAATTAATATATCTTATAAACATCTGATCACGCTATATATGTCTAGAGGAAAAAATAGAAAAATATAATGATAAATAACATATATCTCTGTATGGTCAATACAAATTCTAGCTCGCAAAGGAACGAATCTGCGACTTTTGGCATTTTAAGTAGATAGTCTTTCGTATGAATTAGCACGGCACTTGATCTTTCGATTGGGTAGTTGACACGATCAACCTATAATGACATCCTTGAAAACGCTTTTTTTAAATATTTGTAAAATTGGATTTTTAGTTGCTTTGATATCAACAAATAGTCTATTTATTGACTTGTCAAATAAGTGACGTCACAGGTTTTGTATTCTCATACAAAAATTGTATGAGTGAATCGCGTTTTGACAGTTCATAAAAAGTATGTCAATTGATTGATTCCTTCGTGTCTTCTCCATTCCACGTGACATTGGCGAAGTTATCTGTGCTCAACTAGCACGCTTTGAAGCCATTAACAAGAGAATTGAATTGTTTGGTGGTGACAACTACCCAATTATCTATGTATAAATATCATCTTGATCCGGTGTGTTGTGAAAGAGACATATTATATTACATATATCTATTCAGATATATGAAGCACACTTTCGCATTCATAATATTATTATGGATACAGTAATAAAATAATGAATAAAAAGTAATAAGTGTAACGAGAGTGTGTGTATAACAGGGGCGGCGTGCGAACGCGTCGGCCGCTACCGCCCGCTGTCGCCCGAAAACAGCACGCACACGTAAATATACTGTACCCTAGTACCCCTTGCCCCTCGCACCCCTTGCTCCTCGCACCTCGCACTCCTCGCTCCTTGCGCCTCTGTACCTTTTGTAACCCACGCTCCCCTTTGTGCCACTATGTAACATATGTGCCCCGTACGCCCTGTTCACCTCGTCTAATTAATTATTATTATATACGGACTCATTTATAATAATATTTTTTATTGGATTTTTTATCTAGTTTGATTTTTTTAATTTGACAATTTATTTTTTTATACAAAAAAATATTGCTGTAAATGAGCCATCATAATGAACATGTGCGTTTTTTTTTAATTGCAAAAATAGATTTTTTGACAACTCAATAATTCAAATGAGTTACAAAACGCATGTAGTTCTTTATATCGTATGAACGTTCTGGTTTTTTTTGTGAATAAAATCGTTATACGCCCCGCCCCGGCTTACTTATACCCCCGGCATTAAAAATACTAAATTTGTTTTGAAAATGGTCGATATTTCTATAACATAACTAAAGTAATACTATTTTCAAAGCAATCGCTTATCACAAGACGTTATCATATACTTGCGTTTTGCTGTTTATGTCACGCTTTTCTCCGTTCGATATCACTCAGTCCATTATAATTTATACTTTGGTTTTTGTTTAGAATAGGCTAATTTCTCTTCCAGGTTGTGATGCTAAATACTTTTCGTGTTAATTTTGCTTATAACAATGTGCATGCTTCGACTTAAACAGAAAATATTAAATGTTATATGAAATTGTAAATAAAAAATATATTTTTTGTTAAAGTTCATGACCGTTTTTATTTGTATTATATATTGTTCAAAAATACGGTCACTACCTTTTGTTCCTGTGGAATGTGTAATGTGCATAGGTTTTGTTTTTCAAACTGTCTAAATATTTTTTTATAATACCCATATTTTTACATAATACCCATTACAAAAAAAATAAGTAAAAAATATTATATTTTTTTCTTTTTTTTCTGCTCGATAACAGAAAAAAAATAAAAAAAATAACTGGTAATTTTTGACTTTGACTTTTTTTTATTATTTTTGTGTTTAAATATGGGTGTGATAAATATCTATTTCATTCACAATAACATTCATTCATTCTCACTCGCTTTGCACACCCGGACGCATCACACATGCCACGCAATTTTGAACGCCTATTTATTTTTGTCAACCTTAATTAATCTAGCTTTTTCACTTTTACCACTTTGCTAACGAGAGGCGTTTGAATTGCTTATTTGAGTTATTGTGAGAATTTTTGGGCGGAATAATTATTAATTTTGCATTAAAAAAATCTCTGCTTAACCCAAAAGTTCATTACAGTAACTTTATTGTGGCATTTGTTATCGTTCTGATGGCTTATACGGGATTCTTACATTTTTCAGGTGAATCTACGTACTTGTGAGGGTGGCACGGGGAGAGATCGCACATCTTTAACCCTTAATATAAGGCGAAGGGTCGAATTGAATTATACAGCCTTAAGACTTGAGCCCTAGTGACGTTGAACAATTAGTGTTCTATGTGTGTTAACGTGTAGATATAAATTATAATACGGGTTGTGCCCCGCCCTGGTGGATTTTTGAAACTTATGTGATAATTTGAAAGTGGATCTTTAAGTGCCGAATGTACTGGTAACACTGTTTTGTTGCAAACACTTGCACTTGCGATGACTGTCGTATTTTTTTTCTATCGATACCCAAAGGTTTCTCGTATGGTCACAACATATTGTATAGCGAATCTTATGACTGAATAAGTACATTTTACGGTCGTCATTTCGATTTTTTTTCGGTTATGCGTTTTTTTTATGGAAGCTGTGTTGATTGCTGCTTTGGGGACAAGGTTTTTAAATTTCACTTGTTTTTTTTTTATTTTCAATTTAAATATCGAATATTAATTTAAAAACATTGTTCCGATATTTATTTAACTATTTATAGTTGATAATGGCCAGTGTCAAAGCGACTATGTCGTACTTTACTGTAGGTTTCTCAATTTTTACTCGTGACAATATTGTTTTGAAGTAGATGAACGATTATAATAATTTCTTTGGAATTTTTCAATAAAAAAAATAAATGCATATGAATTTCAATATAATATTTGGTAGCATGTCTGTAATATCCGTTAGTTAGCCTTCATATTTGGCCTACTTTTTGTATT